GCAAATTTAAAAAAACTCTTTGCGATTTCAGCTCTAATTGGCACTGCAACTGTTATGGACAGGCGTGTAGCTTACTATTAGGCGCACGGCTTTTTCGTCCCGTCACTTGGTATTATAAAAAAATATATGTTTTAAATTACTCTTTTTATTTTACCAAGTGAAGGGACGATCAAGTCGTGCGCCTGGTGGTAAGCGACACGCCTATCCATAACAGTTGCAGTGACATTCAGAAGTTTAAATCGCAAAGATCTTATGGGCACTGCCACTGCGCCTGTCACCCTGAGACATAAGTTGACAAGTTCCATGTGCCTGTAATTTCACCAACACTCTTATCTTTAATTCTCTCATTACAGCTTGGTGGCAGAAATAGGTAAGGTACTGCTACTTCCCTGGAGGAACTCTTTTACAGGGAGCTCTACTGCTACTATGCTGTGCCCATGAAAGGTAGGATGAGTTAGAAAATTTCATGAAATTCACACATTACCTTGGGCCCTTCGATAATGATGAATGTGAATTTCAAACTTTACCAACTACACAATCATTTACACGCAGAATTATCGGGCACATTTAAAATTCCATAGTCATCAGACCGAAGCACGTATTACTTGGCGGAATAGTAACATAAAATGACATCATAACGTGATTGGAAGTTTCCTTTCCGTCACTCCTATATTGAGACACATGTAGGGATTGTCAAGAGGAAAGTAGGCGTTAGAGGGTCAAGCGATATTTTATATGTAATTTTAACTCGACCCGCAGTTACGTAGATTACATCGCAGTACTGACAGTTACTAAAGTAGGTTTAGAATTAAAGTGACTATGTTTTTAAGCAAAATTTCTCAGTTTTTCTTCGCTTGTGCACTAAGTCCGTTCGTATCCGAGAAAATAGAAATATCACTTGTACACCTGGAGATAAAATTGACCCTGTGACATTTCGGACTGTCATTTCTCTTCAGTATTGTTAAAATTGACAATAGCACATTTTTTCCACAAGCCCTTTATAAATTTCACCTTGTAGATGCATGGTTTCTCATCGTATTCATATACAGGGTGTAAATTTGAGACGGCGAAGCAAGGCCGGCTTTATCATACATTTTATATGGTAAAATAAAAGGGAACTTCCCGCCCAGGAAGTTATCGTCTATATGACGTACTTCCTTAATTAAAACCGATATTATTTTGATAAATTAATTAATGCAAAGTTTTTTTTAGTTTAATGACCTTGGGTGCGTGCTGTTTAGAGATTTTTTACTCATTATTCCAAATTATTTTTAAATATATTTTAAATATAAAGATGTCTCTCGTATCTATTTTTGCATTTCCTAATAAATATAATTTATTAAAATTTATTAAATAATTAAATTATATATTGTACATTATTATGTCAACTTTGTGTGTAAATAAGTTTAGTTTTTCTCGTCACGTCAGTCGTGACGTCATACCGACGACTGGCGCTAAGCTTTTTCGAAATGAGCTGGTTTAAATTATACAAAAAAATTAAAAAATATATTTGTTATGTTTCATACAGATTCTCAAAAAACATACGTGAATAAAAGTTACTATTGTCAATTGGCATTGATAAAAACAGAACACTGCAATTGTGCGCACAAAGGGCAATGCATATTAACATAAAGCATTTTTCCAAATCTTTAATCAAAAATTAAGAGAGTCCAAGAGGTCCCTATCCGATGAGCATGTATGAAAGCACTGACGTGTTGCTGAGGTGAAAGATATGTGTCAGGATCGTAGCAAGTGGAAGGCTGTTGTCTATACCTACCCCGACGGAAAATATATAATTAAATGTGTAATGTCAGAAGATATTGTGGTCATACGGGATCAATTTTAATTTATTATATATTTCAAAGTGTAAATAACGAATATACGTATGTAATAGTAAAATAAAGCCAAAGTACAGAAACGTCAGTTCACTTTAGGGCTTGATTGGGTAAATTGCTGTATTAAGTATTTCGTTATAATTATAATAAAGCAATAAATTATGATGACATATTAAAGTTAAAGATCATTTCTGCAACTCGCTGGAAGTGTCATAATAAAATGCATTGTAAAAAATTTGCATCAAAATGAGCACTGCGGGTTACAGCGATAATTTGGTCATGAGATCACAACGCAATATCATAAGTTGAGTGTGCTTTAACCGTAGAAGTAAAGTCAGAATTTTGTCACAAAACTTTTTAATTTACTGAGAAATCAGTTAGAGGCGACGTAAGATTTCTAAGAGCTCCTGGATCGGGTTACTATCAGTAATTCCTTTTTAGAAGAACAGTCTGCGTCAAAATTACCTTAGGCGATTATCACACTGCCCCGCACCACGCAGCGGAGTGCGGAATCACGCGTGCGGTGGCGGAGACGCGGACCTGCGTCAACATGCGATTTGCCCTGCGCGGGGGCAGCGGTACTGTGGCCCCGCGCCACATAAAGCCCACTTCGCAGTTGATCACCGCGGTCATTGTACATTTTTTTTATAATCTCAAGTGACGGGACGAACAGTCGTGCACCTGATGGTAAGCTACACGCTTGTCCATAACAGTTACAGTGCCACTCGGAGCTTTAAATTGCAAAGATCTGAGGGGCACACTTGAGTTGAGCAGTTTGCCCTCGACCGAAATTCGGTTGGAGCGCCAGACAAACGTATTTTATTCAGTTGCTTTTAAGCGTTTATACGGGGTGTTTGTGTCGTAATAGTGTAATGGATCCATTAAAAATAGTACGCATTTATGAAGCATTAGAAGACGATGTTAGAAAAAGAAGCTGGGTACATCAACTCAATATGAACCGATTAAAGTATGGGCAGTTTCACATATTATATACAAGTTTATGTTCATGAATTATTAAGCCTAGTAAAACCTTTTATTACTAAGTCAGATACAAATATGACACGGTAGTGCAGAGCGAAGTGTGCTATACACTGGATCTCCGCGCGGGGGTCCGTTATAGTCGTACGTCCCGCACTCCCGCGCGGAGACGCGTTGGCAGTGTATTGTACGGCGCGTATTTTCTATACAAACTGAGATACTTCGGTACAATGTTAAAAAACAAACCTCCGCATACAGTTGCGTGCCGCGGAGCAGTGTGATAAGCGCCTTAGGGTTTGGTATTGAAAATCAACCTTAGGCAATGTTCGAAAAAAAAGCATTGGTTTCAGTAATTATATCCATCGATACCGGTGAAAACTAATCCGGGTAGTCACACAGCAACGGCATCATTTATACACAAACACTGACCTTACTTCTACGACTTAAGAAAATATAGAGCTATTGTTATCGAAAAAGTTATTTCATTAAGTTTAAGGTATATTATGACTTACAATTACATAGGCATAGCGTAAAAATGAGCTATTTTAAATAATGCTACCCGGAAAAAGTCCTATAAAATATGATTGGGCAGGAGTTGGGTATCAAAATCTACTGATTTGTCGATATACTATAAGAATAGATCAGGTCTTTATCGCTATTTATAAGAGCGAATTATGAGGTGTATAAGATGAGGTCCTTCTGCACTACTTCAAAATACTTCGTAATAGAACCATAACAACTAGGTTACTTTATAGACGGTTATTTGTAAAACACGAGTACTAACAAGTTCTCAGGACTATATTACTAAAATAACAACGCACACACTCAACATAGCCTCGCACTAGGGAATCCCTGTGTCGCGGGTGCCATGGACATACACATAGACAACCACAAATTACACCCAAACTCACGAGAGAAATAAATGCAGACCATACAAATATTTCTCCCGGCCCGGGAATCGAAGCTGGGACATCTGCGTGGCAGTCCGGCATGGTAACCGTTCGGCCACGGAGGCATACACAACTTTTGTTCCATTACGTTTAAGAATTCATCGCATTTTACTTTCATACAAAAATAAACACATTTTAAACGCAAACAAAGCTAAGTTAACTTAGCTCACGTAGCCGGGGCGTTTATTCATATCGCACTACTATTACAATACTGTTGTTACTCAAAATATGTTAAATTCATAATTATACCATTTCTAGATGTAAAATGTGAGCAAAACCATCGTTAGAATATTGTAAGAACCAATGAAATGTTATCATCTTGACTCAAAATAAGGCAAACTATTGCGATCTAATTCTGGACAAAACAGTCGTTACTCAAAAATGTGAAATAATTTTTTCCCTTTTATTTTTAAATATATTTGGCAAATAGAAAATTGTTTACATATCTGTAATAAACTTTAAGCTACATACAATTTTAATAATCTTTCACGGGAAGTCAGTAATTCGTTTTTCATCGATTCTCAAAAAATGCACTTTTTGAGTTAATGCACTATTGTCTTGACTGTGCGATATTTCAGTTCACACCGCGAACTAAGCTAGCCGAGCTAACTAAACTACCCCAACGATCCCGCTAACCTATGTAAAATATGTCGCCCTTCTGTCGCCCTCCACTCCCGCACGTGTCCACAGTGTAGCATGTCACTACTTACTACGTATTTTTTTAGGTTAGTTTTGCATGCATCGAGTTTATAACCAGAAATAGAGACGAAATAAGGGCCATCCATCCCTGGCAAGTCATCACCAAGATGGTACTGATATCACTTTTAAATATAAACTCTCGTTTGCACTGAAATCACAAATTAGAAAGCTGAAATAGTCAGCTGTGTGTTCGTCTGCGTATATTCCAAAAATATTATGTATTTATTGTAATAAAGATAATATCTGTAACTATGTGGGGCTATTTCATTCGGTGATGTGGGAAAAAAGCAAGCCATCTAATTACAAAACAAACGGAATCACATTTCTTCGGTAATTGAATATTAAATTGTCATTTTTTCAATTTTCTTCCATTATGGTAAAGTTCAAGTGAAACAATTGACGACATCCGTCAATTTCGAATTCAGGCAAGCCAATCGGAGCTACTATTGCTTTGTAATTTGTGATTCCTGTGCAAACGAGAGTTGATATTTATAAGTGATGTATCACTGACGAGTTTCCAGGACATATACATAAAGTGTGAGATAGTACAACAAAAACTTAGATTATATGTGGTAAATTTTGTAAAAAGACTTGGAACAACAGTTGGTGTTTAAGATGTTAATAACATAGTCCTGTGAGGTTGTTAGTATTTTACAAACTAACCCTGTGTAATAATGCAGTATTGCCGAATACTATTAATTTTGAACTAAGCACGACGAGCAGAGCAAGCGAAACTTTTTCGTGAATAAAGTAACCACCTTCTTACGTGTAAAAAAGTTACGTGTTGTTTTATTGTGTCACGACACAATAAATCAGACAAATGTAAATCCGGCTAACTTATGTTAAACAAAAATTGTATCGTAACATAAACAACTTATGAAAAGCTTTACTTTCCTTTTTGGTTCTGCCGCAGTCAGGTAGGTTTGGTTGTGTGTCTAAGGACCTCACCATGTGTAGATAAAAACGCTTTCAAATTACACACTTATAGAAGCGGTGCAGTAGCGCCACCAGTCACTTTCATACAATATATAATTCATATATTTAGAAGCGCATTTGCAGCGCCTCTGTCATGACCTTAAGGGAAGGTTGGGAGGGTCACAATAATCAAAATTAATGTAGAAAGATATGGGTGGTGTCGTGATACGCGCGAGCGACTTCTATTAATTATATTCTTTTACGACTCGTCTAATTTGAAGGCGCCTGTACCTTGCACAAGAGGTATACAGTAAGTCGGGGAGCTACACTAGTATAAAATTGCACTTGTTACTGATCCCACTCCGCCTCGTCGACTCCTTCCATGCTGTCCTGCTCCAGTTTCAGGTTCATTGTCACTTTAGCGCTCATGGACTTCATTATCTGGAACAACGTAATGAAATATAATAACAGCAAAAACGTCAAAAACACACCATCATCAACCCATTTATACATCCCACTGCTGGGCACAAGTCTCAGGCGAGGTTTTCAACCATAGTCCGCCACTCTGGCTTAATGCTAGTTAGGAACTTCACGCGTTTCCCGAGGGTTGTGAATCATGATGTTCTCCTTCACCGAAAAGCACATGGAAAATTTCAAATAAAATTTCGCACATAAACGCTTGTGATGTGGTAAGTCAAACCATTAGGTTACCACACCTTTACGTTTTGCCTTCGCATTTAGCCAATGAAAAGGTTTTAAAAGCAGAATTACAGTTTATGGAAGAGGTCCGGAATTTGGACGAAAAAGGATTGGGAAGATGGGTAGCTATTATATACTCCCGGACACATAATTCGAGCCACCTCGCATTTTTGTCGTAAAGGCAAAGAACAACTAAGTAACGAGAACGGACACTCTCCGCCCCTCCCTAGCTTTAGATAACGCACCACGCCCCGCACATTGACTGAACGTTATATATATAACGTTATGTATATAGTTTTCATTTATTCATTACGAAATTTGTACGTTAATATATAACATAATTTTACGTTACTATTTATAATGGTTGTGAATTGTGCTGTTGACGGCTGTTTATAATCATCTAAACGGGACAAAGAGAGGAGTTTCTTTCGTTTTTTGAAAGATGAAACGAAGTAAATAAAAAACGTCTGAGACTCATTCAGTTATTGTTTTCTTTAGTGCAGAGTAATATATAATACAGATTTATTATATCAATATAATAAGATGCCATAACTTCGTGAGCTAGAATTGCCGATAAACATTACATAGTGAAAACACCTTTTTTTTCGTAATGAATGACTTTTGAGACTACTTAGTCTCAATTCTGCCAGTGTACGTTTTCGGAATCGAAGAGTGAATATATCTAATTATTAACTAGGTAATGATAAAGTTGCACACGCAATTTCAAATACTTTGGTTACCTTATTTAAAGTTACCAAAGCAAGTGATGGGTAACCCTGCCACTTCACGCACACATTTCCGCGTATGCAGATAGCGCCTTGCTGTATGTAGTAGTAGTAGGTAAATAATTTTCGACCGTTGTGTGGAGTGTCCGGGGTGTGGTAAAGGGCTCGAATACAAAAATAGTGTTGTTATCGAAGAAAAAGTTTTCCCCCGGTTTTGCAAATCCAAATTCGCAACAAGGACTTATGGAAAAGACGGTTAGTATACTAGTTTCAAATTTGCGTAATACTTTTTGATCAATCAATCATTGTTTAAGCTTACGGCACTTAATACTGAAAATGCGTGGTGGCTCGAATTATGTGTCCGGAAGTGTATATCGGCATACAAATTAAAGATGATGATGTTGTTTTCAATAAATAAGGCCAGAATATTGTAAACATCTATGTTGCATAATTTCACATAGAGTTTAGTAACAGACAGATGACACTTCGGATATTTGTGACATTTCGGACTGTCACTTCTCGGATTCGGAACCGGGGGTTTCATTCTCCGTCCGACATCCGTCCGAAAAAATAACTGTCAAATAAGTAATACTCGACCAAATTAAAAGACGCATGATGCGAGTGAAGCTTCATACTTGATGTTGTCTTTTAATTTGGTCGAATATTACTTATTTGACAGTTCTTTTTTCGGACGGACGAACGGAGAACGACAGTAGACCCCCTGATACGAATCGGACGTAGTGCGCTCTTACGATGTAAAAAAATCTTTTTCCTACAAAATAGTAAAGAACGACCATTATGGAATTGAGGGGCGGTATTTGTATGGCACTATGTGGGCGGTGATTGATGATTATTATATATTGATGATGATTTAACTGTTCTACCTTACAATATCTCTCTACCGAGCGTAGACATAGGCAGTAGAGCTCCTTGTGAATGAGTTCGTCAGCATCAGCATTACTGTTTTCCAGTTTTAAAGGGTAAGAGTGCTGGTGAAATTACAGGGACATGGGACTTGTCAACTTATCTTAGGGTGACGGACGCAATGACAGTGACAGTTTAGGATTTAAAGTTCTGATTGGCACTGCAACTGTTATGGACAGGTGTGTAGCTTACTATCAGGCGCACGATTTTTTGTCCCGTCCTTGACATTATAAAAAAATAAAAATAAATAAAGATGTAGCGAGTTACTAAAATTATGTAAATATGTTTTAGTTTATTCTAATTTCTATTATTAACTAATAATAAATTGAACTTAATAA